CTCTGAGCTGTCGGGATCACCTCTGGGATCTCGGGATCACCTCTGGGTTCTCGGGTCCTCTCTGAGCTCTCGGGTCACCTCCGAGCCTTTAGGATCCTCTATGAGCTCTCAGGATCACAGTTGCAGATGTTGAAGAAGAGACCTGTTTTTCTTCCTGGAGTTCAGAACTGGGAACTAAATGGTCCCAAGTCATAAAACTAAAGCTCCACTTTAGGGTCCTGTTTTCTATGGGCAAAAGGAGTTAAGTTTGCCCAAGATGGAAGAAAACTAGCCCAGGCCAGAGAGGGCTGCGGGTTGGAGGGTGGGGCGGATGGGAGACTGCAAGGGCCGTGCCCAGCAGGTGGAGCTGGTCGGGGGCGCACGCTGCTCTCGTCCCTGTCATCACAAGCAGCCTGGGCGCTGAGTGGGCAAGAAGGCGTTTCATGGAGGGGAGAGATTCGTGGCTCCCAGGCGTCCGGGCTATTGAGGCCCAGCCTGGCCGTGAGCGGAGCCCTGGCTACACGTTTCCACCTGAGTGAGGTTGTGTGTTCGGGCCACACGTGTCTCTGACACCTGAACCCCTCTGGGTGTCTCTGATATGCGCACCCACTCTCAGAGCAGCTGGGGCCCCTGCCACTTTGGAAGGACATGTCTGAAGGCACATGCGGCGGTGGGGGACGCATGGCGCTGGGCCTGGAGCATCACTCAGAGTCACTTGCTTGGTGGTGGCAGTGAAGCAGCAGGCGAAGCAGCGGGCCGGAGAGTGCGTGCAGAGGCAAACACATTTTTTTCTGGGCAAAAGGGCCCGAGCTTTTCATCCTACCTCAAAGGGGTTTATCATTTCAAAAGGTTCCAGATCCGATTATTTTCAGGCCAGGGAGGAGATTCGGACCTCAAGCTTCCCCTCGGCGTGGTCCCAACGTCTTGCACAGTTAGAAAGACGAAGCGCGTTATGGGGAGCTCCAGACCTGGCTGAAGACCACCCGACTACTTCCGAGCCGGGCGAATCAGGTGGACCCGGTGTCTTCTAGGTTTGTGCGACCGCCGTCTGCCAAACGGCCTCTTGGCAGTCTCTCTGAGAGTCGGCCTGATTCCGTGTGCCCAACGCTCAGCGCATCCACCTGTTCATTATGATGCCCTTAAAGGGCCTGAAAACTTGCCACAGTACATTTTAATTAGGAAAACAGAAACTTGTTCACATGATTTTGAGCACAAAGAAAAATGCAAATCTCTACTTCTTAAATATTTATCAAAGTGGGAAAGAGGCCCGAGCTGGGCTGATGTGCGTCCGAGCCCAAGCTGCGAGCTGTGGCCATGGGGGCCAGTGGGAGGGCGTTCGTGGCGGGCTGGCTCAGTCCACCCCTGTGGCTCTCACTGCCTGCCCTTGCTCAGGGACAAGGCTTCCCAGCTGCAGCACTTCGGCTAGCAACGTGGGCTTGCCGTGGACTTCCTTCTCAGGCTGGAGGGGAGGGGTGTGAAGGGACACAAGGGCCACCAGAAGGGAGGGGGCTAGGGAGGACAGTCCCGATGGCCAGAAAGCTGGCCGCTGGCTCCCAGCAGCAGGAGGTGGTAGCTGGGGAGCTCAGTGAGCCGGGAGGGGGGCCGCTTCCCTGGGCTGAGTGGCAATGGGAAGGAGGGAGAATCGGCAGCCGACAGTTTACAGGGACGTGGCACTGATATCCCGGCTACCCCCTGGCTGGTCCTGCCACTGATCTCAGAGTGGTGACCAGGGTGGTTTTGCAGAGTCACTGAGTCAGCGAGGAGACACTGAATTAAACGTACAGTTGTGTGGGGACTGGCAGGTGGCATGGTGGTTAAAGCACTGGACTCCCACATGGACAAGCGTGGTTCTAGTCCTGGATCTGCTGGCTTGAAAATTCTGCCAGTCACACGTGCTCTTGTGCCTAGGGTCCGAGGGGACCCTAACCCAGTGGCTTGAAACACATGCTAGTGTGTGTGAGTGCCTAAAATCCCGGGGGGGGGAGGGCAAAGGGACTGTGGTGTGGCCGCTCCCGAGTGGCGATTTCTCACCTTCCCTCTCTCTGTCTCTCTCTCTCTCTCTCCAGTGAGTGCACCTGGATTGAGGGAAAAACAAAACAAAACAAAACAAACAAAACAAAACAAAACAAAACTTTAAAAAATTAATAATGTAAAAAAAATGGAATAGCTGGGCTCTCAGGGGTAGCTCGTCTTGCCTGCTGTCACTGTAACTCTCACCAGTGATAGGAACTGCGATTCTCCAGCAGTAAGCTACCTTTCAGAACGGCCCTGCGCCCGGTCACTTTAAAACCAGCGCACGCACACCCTTCCAAGTCAAGGCGCTTCTTCCTCGGCTCTGCGGAGGCTGCCTGTTAAGCTGGCTGGGACGCCGTCTCCGCCTTGAGCAGAGAGCACGCGCCTTCATGTCCTTTCCCGCGTGGCACTGAGCTGGCACTTGGCCTGGCCAGCACTTCCGGGAGACCTCAGGGTGACCACAGCCGCCGTTTCCCAGTGCTGGTAGCGAGTGCGTTGCTGTTCTTTAGGAAATGGGACCAGATTCTCTCTCTCAAGTTTTCTCTGGCATCTTTGAGAAACCACACCTCGG